CCAATTCAGTTTCTACTTTTACTTGCAACTCTCTAAATTTTTCAAATTTTTTTGATTCGCAATTTTTTTACTCATTTTTTATGGAAGTAACATTCTTTGTTCTGAGATTTTTAACTGGTAAACTAAACAATTTTTTTGTCTTTTTATAGGTACATAGCAGTCAACACTTTCAGAATTAACTTCTCTTATGTTTTCGAATGCAGTACTAGCATTAAATTGCAGCATAAATTTACTTTACTGAATAAGTGTTTTAGGTAAAAGAGATTTTTTCGTTTAACAACATTCAAAAAAGACAAGTCTTAATATACCTCTGAAAATAGGCTGGTAAGGGCAATCAAACCAAAATGAATTGTGATTGGTTAATGGTCACTGAAACTTTGATATTGTGACACACCTGCTTTAGGTTGAATGGATTTTTTTATGGTAAAATGATCCATGCTGTAGCAGATTGGTCCGTCACATTAGTTGGTTTTCTCAGTACTAGCTCAAATCCATTCGATTGTACTACTCCTGTAGTTTTTCAGAAACTACCCTTTTAAGAAACCTCAATTTTGATGTTGTCACACAGAATGTGTGGTACGGTGCCTGTTTTTTCACTTTAAGAAACATTTCTAAGCGATTCAATGAGCTCCAAGTTATTATTTCGTGGTTTGTTATAAATGACAGTGAGATAAGAAGATTTGCCCAATGTTTTTAAGACTACAGACAAAACCTCTCTAATCTAATAAGGTTTAGGTTAAAAAAAATTGTAAAGCCTTCAAGCTAGAGTCTGACTTCTACAAGATGGTGATCGGTGCGCTTTTGACAAGTCTTGTTTTTTTTCGTTAGCATTCATTTGATTAGCAGTGTCAATCAGTTTCTTCATAGTTCAATCTCTATAGTCAATCATTCTCTATGGGTATTTTTCATTGTGAATCATTTTTTTCTCTTCATTTTCTTGTTGGCTTCCTTCTAAACTAAAATTCTTTGGGTGGTCTGTCCTGTTGTACGACTCTAGTATTTCGGCTTCTGATAAACTCTCAATGTTTCATTGTATTTCGTGGTTGACAAGTTCTTGTTTAACTTTCAACATAACTTGGAACTTCATTTGGACAACATCTTCTTCGATTGTTTTCTCCGTCACTTTGTCCACTTCTTTTTGATCGGTTGTACTACGCTTGGAATCAGTTTTTCATTTGGCTTAGCGATCTTTAAATTTTTTGTTTTTCATATCGGCAAAATCAGTGTCCAAGTTGTCACAGGAGTTTAGCAGGTAACGTTTTTTTTGCTTTCTGGACTGGTAGTTGGCGTTTGGTCCTCAAACTGAATAGATGAGGCATCAAAAGTCTGGACAGTTATGGTTCTGTTGGCATGATCATTTTCCATTTCCACTCTCTGTTTAAAAAAATTATCACAACAATCAATTTAAATTCCAGTGCAGTTCCTAAAGCGTACTTTTTAATTGATTGAAAATGATTTAATTTTTTATTGAAAAGGTTTAAAGCCAATTAGAAGCATTTTCGTTAATGCGGATTAAAAAATTCCCAAAAAAGCCAACTTTTCTCGAAAGTTCATTGAAAAACGCAACAAAAAACTATTTGTAAAAACAATTTTATAACGCGCGCCCTTTCGGGCGCGGAACCCGTAAACCTGCCTCTGGATACATAAAGCACTCTAAGTTGTCATCATTTAAGATGGTCAGGGAAAAAGGTAATAACCGATTCCTAGTCCAATTAATTTTCTCATTCTTTTTCCCAGCAAAAATCAGTCTGAATAAGAAAACTTCCTGGCTCAGTATTCTTCGAAACTGCAAAATTTTGCCATGTCCAGCACAATTAAGGTCTCTTTTGTGACGCACATTAAACATGTGAGCTTGAAGATCCTTCCATAATTTACTGTAAGTTGATATCTAGATACCCTGCATGTGTAAATTGATATCCCCTTGTTGACAAATCTTTTTTCTCATTTCTATTTAAAAAAGTATGCTAGGCCATAACTCCTATCTACTTTCACGACAGTTGCCGGAACAACAACTTCATCTCTGAGAAATCTTTAGTATTTTTATGTTTGAAACTTTTAATATACAAGAACTGCGATATGGATCGATAAGCGGAATCGTAAATGACGGAACTCAGTTTCAGAAGTCTTCTAACATAGTGAAAGTATACTATAATGTGAAAAAGTTAAACGATTTTTGTAAAAATTGAGATGACAAGAGCAGGGGAGGATTTAGGGGGGGGGGGGAGGGGGTCCAGCAATCATATCATTAAATACTTAGCAGCTAAATATTTATGCGCTCTTGTCAAACTAAATAATTAACCTTTGGCTGGTTAGGCCTCCGGGCTGGTTGACTAACAAAAAATAAAAATAAAAAATCTCATTAAAAGTCGATTAAAAATTTGGGCTGATTTTTTCCGTTTTCGGGCCAAGTTTCAGAAATCACCTAAAATAATAGAGAGTCAAATGTTATGCAAATTATGCTGCAAGTTTGGAGAATTTTGAAGAGTTTTTTGTCACAACAAAGGAAGTTTTGTCATACACTACCCAGTTTTAGAGAAACTCAGAAAGAAAAATTTCACAGTTGACTGCCCCTTGTTTTTACTAAAGGGAGGGGACTTTTCAACGTTTTGGACAGTGAAGGAGTCTAACTCCTAGGACGGGCTCCTCATTTTGGGAAAGGAATTGTTTAAATTAAGTCTTCGATTGCGATCTGCTCGGTGCTGACCTGTTAATTAGGAACTGCATACAATTAATTTCTGAACTAGGCTGGGAAAAATTACTTCGCCCCCAGCAAAGAGCAAATATCACGTGTCGCATCGAATCCTAATTCTTTCAAGTGTAAATCAAAAACCTGCTCACATGTTCGCGTTTAAATGAACAAATCCTCATTAAAATTTCTACCATAAATCTGGTCGTGCAATCAGTGGTTTTTTGTCCAATCTACAAAATGAAGAGTTATTTTATGCGCCATTCGAGGTAGACCCGCCCCAAATTAGGGTTTTCGCTTATGACCCCACCCCCTGAGTGATGAAAAAATTAAATACAAAAATACAAAAATAGATTAATATTACTAAAACGTTGCTGGATATATAACATTGCTGGATATCAATTTGGCGCAGACCTAAACGAAGCAACTTCGCCTAATCTAGCCTCAAGCACTACCTTTTCCTCGTTTTTTTAACCGCTTTATTGAAATAATTTTCAAAAACTTTTTTAAAATGCCTTCTGAAGGTGCATACACAAAGCTGTCCCTCAAAACAGTCCAATATAAAATAGTCCGAAAAGTCATCTAATGGAGGAAAAAACAGTCCAATACAAAACAGTCCGGTTTAAGGTCGCCGGCGATAACCGGCTCTAAATTTCGTATTTAGTCTTACCCTCTGTTGGCAAGCTCGCAACACGTTGGCTCGATTGCGGCGGTCACTATTTTGTTCATTATGTTTATTGAACAAAGGGCAATTCTCCGCCTGCCGGCTTGTTAAAGCAATTATTACTTGGGACTGTTTTTCAGAATGTTTTGTATGGGACTGTTTTTTCGTTCATTTTCATACTTTTCCGGACTGTTTTGTATTGGACTGTTTTGTATGGGACTGTTTTGTACAGACACAGTTCTGAATTGCCGTTAAACTACCATTTTTGCAGTTTTCCGAGTTGGTTCAAAGCTCTGGATATCAGCCTTGTGTTTCGTAGTACTTTCTATCAAAATTTTGTAATAATTTTTTTTTCGGTTTCTATGCTTTGAAGACGGTTGGGGGGGGGGGGTTTGGGGTTGGGGTTGGGGTTGGGGTTGGGGTTGGAAGGTATTAACCGAAATGACTCCCAACTTACAATTGATTCAGCCATGACTGAATTTTGAAGGGAAAAATGAAAAAGGGCGAGAGTTAAAAATTTTCTTCTTTAAGAAAAGAGATCGATTTTTTACTTCATTTTGAAACTATTTAATAGCAACAGCAGTATCTGAAATATTTTGTCTCAACAAAAAGATAAGCGTTATGTGACTTCCTCAACTAACATTAAAAATATGATGGGCGAACATTCTGCCCGTTTTCTAGAGCTGACGTTCATTTTTTCTACCGAAGAGACCGTTTTAGCTTAATCATCAGGCCGGCCCTATTACTAAAAATAACGTTCTGAACTAATTGAATGGTACTTTTTTCATGGCTGTCAACTCAAGTGGCTAATTTCATTCAAAATGTCAGCCCCAAATGAAGTCATAGGATGGGAAAACAGAAAATTTCCGTACAAAATCAGGGATTTGTATTAATAAAATGGATTAAGTGAAATCAGTGAGGGGTATATATTCAATACATCCCGAATAAATCGGGGAAATGAATTGAATCAAACCGTGCTATGTTGGAATTTTATCATGTTTATTTTTTCTAGTTTATTTGGCAGTCTCTATTAAAACATTAATGCTGGTCAAATCAGCAAAAATGTACATAATTTAAGAATCTAGTGAAAAAAATTTCAGTACATTTAATCTCATTAAACGGATTCAATAAATCTGTTCCTTCAAATAGTGTTTTTTTTTGAGATTAGAGAACATATTAAAATATACGCTGATGGTATGTTACGTTTAATGTATCAAATAAATTTTTAGTACAATTTGGGATTAAAAGCAGACCTTAGATTGCAGATTCTGTTTCTATATTTAAAATTTGTATGCTTTTTCCTCTGTTTTTTTTTTAAATTCTTTTCATTCATTACGTATCCGTGAACTTAACTATCAAAACCGTCCGATCCGATATCTTTTAAATTCAAAATTACACTCAACAACTCTCTGCTGATAAAAGGTTGCTGGAATTTAGGGAATTGCTCTAACCAAATTCTTAATGTGAATTACGCGATTGCTTGGTGTGATTCGTTTTTTCTTGCCAAAAAGCAGAAAAAAAAGATGTTTTAAGACCTTTTTCGCTCCTCTCTGATTAGACACACAACTTAAACAGTGTAATGACTTCCTGATGTTGGCAACACGCACAAAAGGTAAGAAGAAGCGCCACTGTGAAAAATATCCACAGTTTTGCTCTATTTCCCATATTTTTCTTCCTTTTTTCATTTTTTCCCTCATTTTTGCATTTCCGCTACAAATTACATCGCTTCTTCGCTCTGTGCATTTGTAGTAACCGAGCAATAGATGTACTTTAAATGTTAACTGCTCAGTCGTAAATCGTTAACTGCTGTTGAATTTAATGTATTTCCCCTGCACATGTAACTATTTCAGGCAAACCTTTTCTTTCTTTACTTAATCCCCTCCGAGGGAAAAAAAAGGGAAAAATCTGCAGATTTTGCGATATCTCAGCGGCCGTCGAGTCTTCGCCTCTTTGCCATTCCACCACGTGGCTTCTTTTATTCTCTCTAAACCTTAGAAGAATTTCGCTCCCTTTTCTCAGTTGAGGAATAAAAAACATCCGCCTCTCCAATTTATTCAAGGGAGAATCGCCCCTTTTTTTATTAAACTGGGCTCGCTTACTCTGATCTTGTGACCCAAAGTTAAAGGTAATTTATATTTTGCTATACCTTCAATAAGTTATAATTTCAATTTAGCACTCTTTAAGTCGTGCCAAAAACTAAGTATCTTATAACTGATATATTTTTATTTTCGCAAAAATTCAGCGAGAGAATCGTAAATAGTACCCGTTTTTGTTTCTCTAAATCGAGTTCAAAATGAATACAAGACTGCTCGTATCAGGGCGAAGCCCTAAATGTTTCGACTGTCTTCTAAGGTTTTATGGAGCAGCAATAGCATTAAAAAATTAAATGTAATAAAATCAATGAAAATTTTTTTTCTCTAAATTTGAATTTTTTTTAAAGTAAAAATCATCCCCCCCACAAGCCATATAAAGTACAAAAGGATAGTTTTAGCTCCCTGTTACAAATAAACTAGGGCAATTAGGCTTCTTTCAACCAATTTGGAACGATTTATAAGGCGAAATAAATCGCGCGTTAATTGTCCGAAATTGGCCAAAATGGCAATCTTTGAACCCTCATAACTTCACGAAAAGAGATCACAGAAATATTTATTTTTGAGTGTTAATTTCAATACATGAAAATTAATCGTTCGTCTGCGTTAACTTTTGAGTTATGTCAAAGATTATTGATTTCAAACTTTTTTAAATACTTTCAAAAAGTAAAGCACAGAGTTTTCCAATCTTTTTAATTGTTTTGCATTTCCTTGCCAGAAAATCAAAAAAGTTTTTGGGCTGTCATGTCTGCCAAGCGTTACAAATTAAAAACTAAAATTTTTTACAGTTGATTTTGTCAGAAGGAATTGAAAACAATTATTTACGCTGGAAATATTTACGCTGGAATTTAAGAAATAAATTAAAACGAAAATTATTTTTTTCTAAAACTTGAAATTTTTTTATGAAAACCATCTCCCACGCGTCATATAAAGTATAAAAGGATAGATTTAACGCCTTGAAACAAATCGATTATGTCAAATAAGCTGCTTTCAACCAAATTGAAACAATTTCTAAGTCGGATTAAATCTTCGCTTACACGTTAATAGCGCGAATTATATCGCACGTTAATTTTCCCAAATTGGCCAAAATGGCAACCTTTAAACTCTCATAAGCTTACAAAAAATGATCAAAAAAGAAATATCTTTTCCAATTTAAGCTCAAGACAACAATACTTTTTGAATGATATAAGAAAATTCCGTCAAAAATGGCTAGTTAAAAAGTCGAAGTTTGTCTGAAGAAAAAAACCCACCCCGAGCACAAATATTCCGTTACTTCGTATCGAAAATCGGAACAAAAACTTAAGAAAACACAGAAATAAAAAAGTAAATGGCACTGAACGATCGTGCGCATCAAAACAAAATGTTCAAAACTATTGGCAAATGTTGTCTATGATCTTTTATTAATGATAATTCCAGTTTCTCTGTATTGTTCCGACTTTCGATGAAATTGAGGAATACATACGCTTGGGGCTGTTTTGTGGTGTTTCAATCAGATCATTATCAGTTCACATAGGGGATCAATCCCTGGACCTACGTTCGCCCTACCGCGCGCGCATATTACTATGCTAGTACGATTGAAACGAGTCTAACTAAACTGCTCATTTTTTGAAAACAGAGCTGATGTTTTGAATTCGGGAATCTTTTTTTCTTTTCATACAATTTTTTTCTGGCTTTGCTGTATTCAAGCAATATTTCCTAAAAAGTTTCTTTTCGAAAGTGAGCTTTTTGAAAAACATTTGAGTTAAAGAAATTATCGCATAGTATTGATGCAAAGCGTGATGTAAAGGATTTTCTTAAGCCACAAATCAGTGTATTGGAAAAAACCAGCCATGAAAGTTGACATTGCTGCAAGTATCTTGAGAATTTTACCAGAAACTTTTTTTCAAACGTCGTTTTTCCAATACTGCTCATTTGCTTCGAGTTGCTCTATCAGTACCAACATATTTCGCTAACAAAACACAATTAAAACTGACAACGGATGTGGGATTAAAGTAACATCCCTACCCCCGCTTAACCTCAAAAAAAAATGTGGAAACATCACCGAGCAGCAAGGGAACAAGGGCAGCAAGGGAACATCCCTTCTTCATGGATTTGACTCCCTCGCCACTGCAAGTTTCCCTTTCCCCATTTTGATACTCATTTACGTCAATTATTTCTGGCAATTGAACTTGAAACTTTTTCTTGGTCGCTTTATAGCATTTTAAACACTGTATACAGAATGATTACAAGTGATTCAAGAAGTCTAGAAAAATGAATCAAATCGAAAAATTAATTTTGGTTCAATTTATTTAGCGAAGTTCGGCTTCAAAGTTTAGCCTAACGCTTTTTTAATCAATCAAAAATTATGCCATAGCTTTTGTTTCAATTGGTGACAAAATATACCAAAGTGTATCTCTTATATAGCCCAAAAAAACCTAACCAGTGTAAGTTTTCCAAAAAAGGCGCAAAACGTACGTCTGAATGTTGTTTTTAATCAAAGTTTGTTACTTCATATAGTAAAACTGTTATCTTTTTCTATCAAACAAAAATAAATTAAATTAAACAAACTGAGACCATTATACTTTTTCAAAAAGCTGTGTGGCTCAGTTTGGCGTATTTTTAGAAAAAAAAATCATTCCTATTTTTGTCGTAGTTTTTGATTGACTTTTAAAAAAGCCGAAACTGGTCGTTTTTGGTGATAAATTTTGAACACGAATTTTGGAAAAAAAATTTCACCATACTTTTCTGTTGAAATTTTGTCTTCATGATTCAAGTTTCTTTTGCTTTGTCCGATTAATTTGAATCAGCACTGTATACACAGTTGCATTCTTTCGTGATTGCGTGAAGAGATCTCAATTCAAACAAGACTGCTCATATACCAGGGCAACGCCCTAAATGTTCCAACTGCCTTTTAATTGGTCTCGAATAGTTTTTGTTAAACAACAGTATTGGAAAACTATAAGTTTTTGTCAATATCGAAGATCAAGTGTGAAAATATCAGTCGTATAAACTTAATACGACCAATAAACCAGCCTCAATTTAGTTTGCAATAATTTTGCTGTACTAAATAATTTGTCACGCATTAAAAATCGCGTTACGCTTTCAACATTGTGAATAAAATGTTTACAGCGCGCATAACTTAGTCGAACGCATAGCCAAATTAGCAATTTTCAAACTCCCAGAACTTTGCAAAAAACGATTGGAGGAAAAATATCTTTTCGAATTTGATTTCAAGGAGTCACTATTTTCATTTGGGTAAGAAAAATTTATTGTTAAAAAATGTTTGGGCATCATGCTGAACTCTGATTGAATCAGTTTTGGCTCATTAGGTATTAGATTCAAAAGCAGGCGTAGCATTTAGCATGAGTAGAGAATAGAATGCCTGATTAGAAGATTTTGGTTGATTTTATTGCCACCTTCAATTTTAAACGCAGCATAGACGAATAAAGACGTCTACTGAGCTCCGTCAAATTTAAATATGCATGGGGGATTGTTGACACAATTTTGAAAATTTTCTTCAATTAAGACTGATTGTATCAACTTGTAAACCTAAATTTTTCTAATTTTTTGGTTAATAAATGACTTTTTTGCAACGCAAACGTGGTTGGGACATTCAAATTAAGTTGATCGAGAGCTTATACCTTTTGTTCTGATAATGTTTTTTTTTATAATTTGAAGTTGCTTTTTATAGTCATTGGTACATTCTCATGGCGTGGAGAAGCTGATTAAACATACTTATAGTTTCCATGTTTCTAAGTATTGCAATTTTTTTCTCGTATGCACATCTTTTTGTTTTTAGCTTCAGGAATCACACATTTTTCTATTTCTGGTACAGAAAGTTATCACGCAATAGTAAAGTGTAAAAACACATGTCATACATTTTTTCCGAGAATTTGTTAAATTTTTTTAATAAATTTTTGGATCTTGTTAGCTTTTCCTCCTCCCTATGGTATCTTGTAAAAAATCTGACCCCTATAAAAAAACAAGGCAGTTCGTATCAGGGCAGAACTCTGCATATCCCAACTGCCCAATTGTTTAAGGTCTATTAAAAGTCTCACTGTGTTCGCTTTCTGAAAAATTTGATTCTGAAAAATCCCCGAAAATATTAAGTTAAGTTGGCCAAATAGCATGCTTCGATTACTTTGAAAGATTTTGCTCGTTAATCATCCCAAATTGTCCTACCTGGCAGTCTTCTACATGTGAAGTAGTTTTTTTAAAATTTGAACTCAGGACAACAGTACCTTTCAAATGATTTTAAAAAAAAAATGTTCAAAAATTGCTAGTTAAAAGTCAACATTTTTCTGCAGAAAAAAAAAACAACTCCGAGCCCAAATGTTTCGTCTTTTTCTTCGACAGTCGGAACAAAAATTTAACTGTTAAGCAAAAACGAACTTTGAATCTGCTTAACAATCTCTCCCACCACCCCCCTCCCCCCCCCCCCCTTTCTTAAAAGGGGGTGGAGATAATTAAGTAGATCCCGAATTTTGTATCCTTGAACGAATATTCCTTTTGGAAACAGTTGGAAATAGTTGACAACTGAGAAATCAACCTGGCTGTGAATATGAGAGTTTTGCGCATGATTGCATAGATATTTTCTTTTTTCAGAAATGCATCGTCAAATTTGCCCAACCATTTTTTAGCCATGATGAAGAAACATGTTCAGTGAATTATATGTGTGCAATCAAAAGTATTGGTTCCACTAAACATATGTAAGAAGTTTTGAGTGTGAGGTGCTAGCAAATGGGAAAATGCTTTAAAGGCATTGTGAAGACATTTAGTTTTAATAGCCCATTTGTGGCTGTAGTTGGTCTCAACGGAGGCGCCGTGATGCATAAATTTAAAGTTAGGAGCTGACAGATTTTTTTTCGCGTTAGATGATAGAATTTATTATTTTTTTATTTCGGCTGAAATTTCATCGCTGTTGTGTTTGAAAATGGGATGCATTGTCATCACATTCATTAACCCAGCAACCTGTTTTTTCATTTCCGCTTTGAGACAGATAGGGAAAGTGCTTTTTGTTTGAATCTCCCTATACCCTAGTAGGGACATGTACAGT